TCCAGCAATGCCCATGCTGTGCTAGGCCTGGCACTTTGTCCTCACCGCTTGCCATCTAGTACACCTTTTCCACCATGACTACTACTCTCTTCAGAATGTTCTCTCCACACTCTGACCCACGAAATTCTGGGACTGTTTAGTTCTCACTCCCTGTGTTCATTTTTAGTTATCTTTGTATGTCTGTGTTTGAGTTCCCCAACTAAGTTCCCAGCACCCTGATAGCAAAATCTGTGCTTTCCTTTATTTCCCTTCAATGCCTTATGCAATGACCAGATAAAGCACTTAATAATTTTGTTTGTATAAATAATAATTTGTATAAATAAATATTCTATTTATATAAATAATAAATAATCTTATGTATATCATTTGTATGTTTAGTGCTCAGGAGAGTAATATTTTGATAAAGTAGCCCGAGAAAAGACATGAGAAAGGTCGGCATTTTAGGTTAACAGCATATTCCCTCTTCCAAAGAAAATGCATCCGGTGAAACTCTTTCCACACGAGATAATCAATGCCAGTCTCGCCTTCCACTCTCTGCAAACCCCTTGGGTCTCATGGCAAAATAAAACACTCCTGGTCAATGGATGTCCTGGCCGTGGTCAGCAAAGAGAAGTAGATGACCAAGTACCTCCGTTTAGACTCCGAAAACCTTTTCTTAAGACAACGTCTCTCCGTTCTTGATCTTCCTCCCTCAGTCTCCCAGCTGGGATCACAGGTGCATGCCACCATGCCTGGCTCTTTTTTAGGCAGGATCTCACTATGTTGCACAGGCTATCCTTGAATTTGCAATTCTCCAACCTCAGCCTCCCCAAGCTGTACCATGCCCAGTCTCCCAAAACAATTTTTAAAGGGGAAAGCTATCATAGCTACTGTAATGACTTACGTTATCATCAGTATTGTTCATTTTATGAGTAAGAGTAATGCTTATGCTAAATGTTAGCAAATATCAGATAAGAGATGACCAAGATATCTGAGCCACAGTGAATACCTCAAACCAATGACATCGGCAGAAAATAGATTTTAACTCATGTGGAAAACCAGAAGCTCCCACTTTGCTTCAACCTAAGTGCATTCAAATATCAAAATACTAAATATTTCTCCCATGTGGGAACAAGGTAGGTTAAATAAGCCAATCTTACCCTTTAACAGGAATAATTATAAGCACTCTCTTTTCCTGGACTGTAGCGTTTTATAGACAAGAATTACTTAGGTATTTTAATTCTTTCAAGGTGGCAGGGAAGGGACACCTTATTATCAGAGTTAGCACTCCATGAAAGGCAGTGTCTATTTATAGGAAACTCATTGGTAGATGATTCAATTAAAAAAAGTGTCATCCATTAAAACTCACTTAAAAATGGAGAGCCTCTAAGGTTCGTTACACAACTATTAATAGGAAGTCGAATATTCTTTGCTTACTCTATAATCTTTCATGACAGCATACAGGGAAGAGTATACAGACACCAATATTAGATCCTCTTCTAGATTTCATCCATTGTGAAGCCATGAGGCCATATACCTAACAAAAGTGAGCATCAACAAAGGGCAGGGAAGCTAAGACCTTTCCCAGAAGTTCCTAACCACAAAGAACAAACCAGCTAAAACAAATCTAAAACAAATCAAGTGAGTGTGTCCCAAGAGACTCCTCGGCCAGCTCTGCTGGTGCTCGTAGAGAACCAGGGAAGCCTGCTGGGCAGCCACTGCCCAGGTCACAGCACACACTGTCGGCTGGCATATCTCCCAGGAGCCTTCCCCAGGGGGCAGAGCAGGTGGGAAACATTTAGAACTTCAGCGCTGAACTCCTTTTGGAAACCTGAAAACTCCTTTTACATATGAAGAGTGGCCCTGACAGTAGAGATTGCCAATACAAAGTCACGGCTACACACATTTCCCAATAGTGGCCAAATAACGAGTGGACATGGTCATGATAATGAGGCTATACAGATTATGCTTTTCACATATATTATTTCATTTAAATCCTCATAGCAACATCATATGGCAGAATTATTACCATTCCACCTATAGGGGAACTAGGCCTTAAAGGCTTTTAATTACTTTCCTAAGCTGAACTTTGAATCCAAGTCAACCTAAAGTTATAGCCACAGTCCTTCCCGTTTGTCATTCTATCTCCTGGCTCTCCAGTCTTCTTAAAAGAGAGCACATTATAAATAATATCCCATTTTAGCTAGAAAGACACAAGTTCAAGTTATAGCTGAACAGTTAAGGGCAAGAGTTACCCAATAGGTCTTAAAATTCCTTTGTTAGGGCAAAGCTGAGCCATTTATTGATGTAACTGCTTCACTTATCTTCTAAGTAGAATTAAAGTGTTCACATTTTAAGAAATAAATTGGGGACCAGCAGATAGCATAATGGTTACATCACTAGACTCCCATGTAGTCAACCACAGTTCAAGTCCCGGACCCTGTGGCTTAAACCTCATGCCAGGTGTCTGTGTGTGTGTGTGTGTGTGTGTGTGTGTGTGTGTGTGTGTGTGTGCGTGCATGCCCAAGATCCTGAGAAAAGAATGGAGGAGAAGGGATTGTTGTGTGGTCAATCTCCCTTGGGGGGTGATTGCTCATTTTCTGTCTCTCTGTCTCTCTAGTGAGTGCACACACCCTATAGCAAAAATTTATCTCTCAAAAAAAGTAACAAAAAAATTGACAAGGCTTTTAAAACTATATAGGCTTTAAATATGAAATAGACTTTAAAATTGGAGAAAGAATACTACCAAGAAAGGGTAAGAAATAGAAAGCAGAGGGTAGGGAAATGAATGGACTAGAAAAAAACTGAAGAGGGTTAAAAACAACAGGAAGACCTACTTCAGTAAAATAATCTTTTCTTTCACTTCAAAATCCTTTTACTGAGGTCATTTTAGTGTTTGGTGTCAACATCATGGACAATTATCCATCCATGGAAAAGCCAAAGGGTCCCTCTGGCCTTCTGGTGTGCTGCCTGCTAATCTTCACAGAGGTGCTCCCCCTCATTCAGTCCCCTCTTCACATCCTGCAACCTTCCTCATTTGTCCCCCACTGTATCTCAGTTCCTGTGCACTTGGTGAGACAGAAGAGAGTGAGTACCTCAAGGCCAGCCCAGACCTGGGAGAGATAACTCACTGTGGGAAGTTAGCTGTGTGACACAAAATACAACCAAATCAACTAGGCCCCATAGCCCCCGAGGTTTTGACATTATCCAAAAACAGGTACTTCTGGTATTGTTGAAATACTGATCAGAAAAGGAGATATGGAAATATATGGAAATTGGATGGTGGCAGTTCAAAGAAACCCCCAGTGGCTTGAAGTGCGCACAGGGAGCATGTGTGTGTGTGCCTAGAATCCTGACAGGATGAGAAATGGAGGAGAAGGACAGTGGTGTGATCACATCCCATTGGGGAGATGCTTTCTCTTTCTCTTTCTCTCTCTAGCAAGCACATGTCCTCTCTGGCAAAAACAAACAAAAACAATCAAATGTCAGGAAAACACAACCCAAACCCTAACCTTTGACAACTGTCTTCTCAAAGTATAGAGAAGGGACTCAACAAATGCTCAATATGCAAATTGACACATCAGAAAAACTTGAGAAAACGGTTTATCCAATTAGACTCTTGAATTTCACAAGCATGAACAGCAGACTTAAAATTCACCAGAACATAGTCATTTTTATATTGGGGGTACACACAGGCTGTAGCACTGGTATTTATATCATCTTATTTCCATAACAAAAATTTTTAAATCGGTATCAAATATAACTCCTTGAAATCATGTCAGTAAAACTGGAGAGAGAAGTCGAATGTAGCATGAAATGATCTCAGTAAGGAGGGTCACTGTAGGCAACTGTTCTTTCCAACATGTGCTATTGCCAAACATTCTTACCCTCCACCCACCCACTTAGCCCAAAGGGACACAGCAAACACCAAACCACTTTTCCCAAAGAAGCTCAGCACTGTTTCAAAACTGCCTTCTTTCTCCTTCCTTGTCATAAAAAACCAAGAGATCAAAAATCAATGGACTTCAAATTCTGATTTCATCTTTTCAAATTCAAGAAATGCTCAAAGCCTCAGACTTAGGGATTAACACAGATAAAAAAAAAAAAAAAACCCAAAACCTCATTCCAGTTGATTTCTACCCTGTATCTAATAGAAAAATACATGATCTGTGCCTTTTACAAGTCTCATACAAATGTTTCTGCTCTCTTATTTTAATTATATGATTCATTAAGGATCCTCCATATAACTTGTTTATTTACAATTAATTATGAAGTAACTTATGCCAGAAATATTCTCTCCATGGCCTGGTGGCTAAGAGCTGGATTCCTCATGGCTGACAGCACAGTTCAAGTCCTGGACCCTAGCATTTTGAAAAACACACTAGGCACACGCATGTCCAAAATCCCAACGGTAAGGAAAAGTGGAGAAGAAAGGATTGTGATTTTACTATTTCCTATGGGGGATATTTTCTCCTCCTTCCTCTCTCTCTCCCTCTGTGCAAAAACATACACCCTCTGGCAATTTTTTTTTAATTCTATAAAATTGGCATGAAATACTAAATCAACATATGATTTGGAATCCAGTCACTGATTTTCAGACCAGTCTGAAAAACCTATTCCAAAACACAGTGCCACTGACCATCTTTGAGAACACAAATGCCCCACTTTTAGACATGCCATCTTTCTATCCTAAAATAAGAAAGCAGTGCTTTTGTGAAAATCCAAATCTCTCTTCTTGACCAGAAAACAACATCCTTTCTAATTTCCAATGACTCCACCTCTGCACCATTTCAACAACAGGACCAAATATAATGCCAGTGAAGTCAGTAGGAGGGACTTACAGTTGAAGATGCCTGGAGGGGGATGCTCAGTCACCAGGAGACAGTTTTCTTCATCGCTGTTGTCTCCACAGTCATTCTGTTGGTTACAGACCAGCGAACCACGATACAAGCATTTACCGCTGGTGCAGGTGAATTTGCACTCTGAAAAAGTACAATATAAAGCATGAAGCAGTCAGTGCAAGCTTGGTGCTCTTGAGTTTTTATTGTTATCAATATTTTTTTTTAACTGCCATTTGCATGCCACAAAGATTTGGGAATTCAGACTGTTTCAAATTGCAGGAAACTCAGAGAAAGGCCAAGTAAGGACTTTCCTTCTCTGAAACACAGAGGATGGTGCCCTCATGTCCTCCACAGGGACATTCTGAGACCTACCCCGATTATTCACCCCAAGACACTACCCAGGATGTGAGTAACGCACGAGCTCTCTTTGTGCAACCTACCCTGCAAAAGTCATAGTTGTGGGGCTCTAATAACTGACTTGAAAACATCCTTGGCAGTTTTCCACACCTTAAAGGAAGGGAGGAGCCCATGGAGCAGCAGCAGAGGCTCCCCCAGAACTCAGAAGTTTTGTCTTGACAAAGAGAGGTTCATAAATTCTATTTCCAACTTGCAGTGAAACTCTGGAAAAAATTTTCAATGACTCCAGTGTGCGTGCGACTCATGCTTAATAGCTGTGCTTGCTATTGAAAGTCTTTAAATTAATTAAGATTTTTAGTGAATCAATACATATGAAAAAAAAAAAGTATGGAAAACAACTGTACATACCACAGACAGTGTGGGAGAAGGGGGGGGGGATGTTGGCAGAGGGTGAGAGGTAGGGAATCAAGGGGGGAAAAATAAAGCAAAATATGTAAGAAATAAGAAATAGAAAATTATTTGTTGATGACAACATGTTTGGTAATATCCTTGATTGAGCCAATATATATAGTATATACTGCATAGAAAATCTCATTTTGTATACTGTATTGATGTACAGTGAATGACTGTAAATAAATAAATAGATAAATAAATAAAAGACAAAAAAAAAGATAAAAGAAAAAAACAGATTGAGTACTAGGCAGGAGTGGCCTGCTTTTATAATGTAAAATATGGGAAAATGATGTGTGCTCTGCTACCTGAGAAGCAGCCATGCTGAAGACCACACTGGTGAGCTATAAAAATGGGATGGAGTCCATGCCCAAATCCCTGTAAGCCATACTGAATACAGGACCCCTGAAATCTGTATAAATCAATATTTTACCATGGAATTCACCCTACTGGACTTTAAAATAAATGTGCAAACTTAACACAATCCTATCGACTCAAGCAATTAGAGATAAAGGAAGTTACACAATAATGTACTCGAACACCTAAAAGGCCATTTCTATTTTAAATTGAAAATCATCTTGCACCCTGACTGTACTTTTTCCAGCACCCACAGAAGCTGGCAGGATTCACACAGTGCATCCCACTCCTTCCAGTAGATGCCAGGAAGAAGAGTCCCAAGTACTCCACTGACACTGACTGTCAGCCTGTTCATTTCTCCAAGCTTCAGTTCTGTCTGTCTGGAATATAGGCAGCAGGACTGGATCGAGTCCCAGGTCCTTTCAACTTTAATATTCCATTTTCAAATAAAGGACATCAGTACACCAAGGCCTCAATTATGCTGAGCATGCATGGGGTCCTGCCAGGTGAGCCTTCTCGTTCCTGAGAGGTTAACTGCAGTCGGCAGAGAGACTAACCCCTTACCTGTTATAAAGAGACAAAACTTAAGTCCTCAAAGTATTTTGGGGAATCCATAATGAAAGAGGTATTATAATCCTCCATTTGTTCGCATTCTCCTAGAAGAGCATAGAAAAAGAAACCAACTGGAGCCCCTGACCTAGTTTAGAATAACGTGAACACAACCCAAATGCACACTGTAAGCTCATTGCTGGCTGTACCATCCAGGTTAGAAAATGTGTGTGCTGAGTGTGACCAGGCCACGTGGTAGAGGTGCTGCTGAAGCCAAACTCTCTCCATAAAGTAGAAAGATTAAAATCCAGATGTTGGAAATCATATTTATGAAGTGATTTTCTTTTCCTTAATGGAAAAAAGGATGTCAAGGAAAGAATTTATCTTCCTTTCCAAAAGAAATATTAGACTTCAGATGAAAACATGAAAAAGTACACTAGTGGGACCAGCAGTTAGCGTAATGGCTATGTCGCTGGACTCCCACGTGGTCGACCGTGGTTCAAGTCCCAGACCTGGTGGCTTAAACTCACGCCAGGCGCGTGTGCGTGCATGCCCAAGATCCCGAGGAGAGTAGAGGAGAAGGGATTGCGGCGTGGCCATCCCTCCTGGGGGGTGATTTCTCTCCTTCTGTCTCTCTGTCTCTCTCTGTCTGTCTGGAGAGCACACGCGCCCTATAGCAAAAACCTCTACCAAAAAAAATAAATAAATAAATAATAAGTACATTAATCAAAAACAGGTACTCCTGGTATTGTTGTAATACTGATTGGAAAACAAAGGAATGCTAACTTGAATTTAATCAAATTCTAACTGAAAAATTAACCACTGCTATGGTTCGAAAGGATCCTGGGATTAGACTACCATATTCAAGTTGATGTTGAAATTTTATAACTGCTGGAGAAATGAAAACACATTCATACTTTACTCATTTCTATTTGTAAGAAGGGGATACATCTAGGGTAACAATATATTTCCAAGGAAAGGAATGGTGTGATTCATTCATTCATATAACCAATACTTTAGCTCTTTCTATGTTATGTGCCAGGTAATGAAACATGGAAACATAGATGAAAGAGCTAGCCCTCTTCAAAGAGCTTACAATATGAATTTTTCTTTTAATACACAGAGTGACTAATATACTTGTTAACTCCTTCCAAGGCCACATATTTTCCTTCATTATATCCTTCACATTTAAAGTACTGCCCATCCCTTAACATACACTCAGTGAATCACATACTTGCTGAATAAATGAGTAATCCAATCTGATCCTCATACGAATCCTATGAAATAATTAGAGCAGACATTATTATTCTCATTTTATTCCATTTCATCCCCATCCAACCGTGCTGCCTTCAGTTTTCAAATTTGCTTTTGTGAATATGTAAGATTCACTTGTAATGAGCATCCCCACATACATAACAAAAATCTCGAAATAGCTTGTTTTCTTAAGTAGACTTAACATTACTCAGGAAACATTAACAAGCCTGATGCTACTGATTTGCTAAGAAAACTATTACTTCTTAGACAATGAAAACATTAATAGGAACCCATTAAATTTCATGTTTATAAAATCTAAATCTTCTCAGCAGTGAATCATTAGCCCAACATCAAACTAAAGGTTCTTCCATCACATGGCCACTTGAATCAAAATGGTTGGATTGAAAATCTAAATTTATTGGCTTCCTGATGTGGTATAGAAAATACTAGAACACTGATATAATGCTATTAGGTGTAAAATATTAGTATC